ATGTACCTCGTAATCTTTTGACTACCGCCCACAGGATGGGTATGGGGTGCATAAAAAACATATTAAACTAACTAAAACTAACTATTCGCAGTGAAACGACAGGCGGGCGGTCCCTGCTCGTACCATGCCGTAGCTTTCATGGACATATTTTGTCAGCTCCGGTCTCACCGCCCCCATGGATATCTTCTACTGGTTCTCCATTAGAATGAGAATTTCCCGGATATTAAGGCAATCAACATGGCAGGTCAAGCTGACCGAATTCAAGAATAATATAGATATTTCTTGCGATGATCCTAAAATAGTGTATTGAGGAAAGCGATTAAAAGTCATCTGATTGAATTAAGGAAGACTAATAGTCTGGTAAACGCAACTGGACAGCGAGACGCGCTCAGGACCACCACAAAAACTGAAAAAGGGGCCTGAATTAACAGAGTATGCCAAGAAGTTGATTGTCGGAACGATATGCTGAGTCCCTGTGTACTCACCTATTTGTGGTTGCAGGGTCGAGTCCTAGCTCCTGGCCCCGTGTGTGTGTGTGTGTGTGTGTGTGTGTGTTGTGTGTAAGTCCAAGTCCCGTGTGTGTATGTGTGTGTCTGTGTGTTAAGTCCCTGTGTGTGTGTGTAACTCCCTGTGTGTGTGTAAGGTCCTGATGTGCTCACCTTTATTTGTGCTCACCTATTTGTGGTTGCGGGGTCGAGTGTGTGTGTGTGTATGTGTGTGTGTGTGTGTGTGTGTGTGTGTGTGTGTGTGTGTGGTGTGTGTGGTGTGTGTGTGTGTAATGTGTGTGTGTGTGTGTGTGTGTGTGTGGGGTGTGTGTGTGTGGTGTGTGTGTGTTTTGTGTGATCCAAAAATTTATATTTGCACCAGTAACTCATTACAGTTGTGGCCGGGTGGGGACGTGTGAATTGCTCATTACTGTATAATTTGTTTTAGATGTAAACCATGTATAAACGTAAGTAAATTTACTTACATGATTCATTACCTTTGTACATAGTTCAGCTATCAAAACTTTGGGGGCCCAGTTCCTGGACCCATTATGTACCTCTGTAACCTTTTGGGCTACTGTACTGTAATAAAATATAATATAATTACAATTACTTCTGAATACTTCCGTTTAATTTCCTTGGTTAGCTCAGTCAGTGGAGCGTCGGACTGTAAATGTGAGGACGGCGGTTCGATCCCCGCCTGAACCTTTCTGTTTATTAATGGACAGTTGTTAATTAAACTTAATTTGAGTTAACCTCCATAAGACAACCTTCACTTGCAAGATCATCATCTTGTTGTGGTTCGTACGTCAGCTTGCTTGCGGCAGCAGTAACAGCCTGGTTGATCAGACCCTGATCCACCATGAGGCCTGGTCTCAGACCGGTCCGCGGGGGCGTTGACCCCCGAAACCCTCTCCAGGTAAACTTCAGGTAAACCAGTTGTAGATGATGATCGAGTACTTAAAAAACTGAACACAATATTTAAGATGGCTGGTCTATCTAAGGCACAATCCTCAGCAGCCACCATGACATTAAAAACCTTGGTGAATGAAAGGGATGAGCAGGGAAGACGGGACAGACGAAGAATATTGCTGGAGAGGTGTGTTCTTAGTCGTAGAAATAGAGCCAGGGCTTAAGCGGAGTGAGGAGCTGAGATGTGAAGCATTGTAGTTCTAGATTTGGGAGAATGTGTTTCCCAATTGTTCACAATTGCTCGTAAGCAGAAATAATGACTGGACTTGCTTTGAAAAATTCATAAAATACTATCAAAGATATTAAAAAAGTCACAGTTCACAGGTCTTAGAATGGGCTATAAGATAAGATAAGATTTGGTTGGATTTTTAACCCAGGGAGGGTTTTTCAAAGTTTATTCTCTATAAGGATTACAATGCTGAGTTTACAGAAATTTGGTTATTGTGTGGTTTACATGTAGTAAAATTGTGATTACAGAGTGTACCACTAGAACGCTTAGCATGGCTAGGCATTTCGGGCATACTTAGTTTTATTCTTAATTGTAAAATATTACAAATTATGAGGTAAGTTGGTATTATGGCTAAGTGACTAAATACTAGTTTGTGAGTTTAGCAACGTGAATGCTTTTGTTTTGGCACAGTACATAGTTTCAGTATTGGAGTATCACAGGATTCATTATTTTAAGACTCAGATTAATATTTCTGTGAGTGTAAGTGTGAACCACCAGGTGGTATTCGTGTAGTTAGTTGACGGGGTGTATCAGGGAGATAAGATGTTTTCTAATGGTAGTTTTGAAGGTGATGAATGTGTCTGCAGTTCTAGAGTTCTCAGGAAGGGTATTCCAGATTTTAGGGCCTTTGACATACATTGAATTTTTGTAAAGGTTTAGTCGGACACGGGGAATGTCGTAGAGATGTTTGTGTCTGGTGAGATAAGATAAGATAAGATTTCGTTCGGATTTTTAACCCCGGAGGGTTAGCCACCCAGGATAACCCAAGAAAGTCAGTGCGTCATCGAGGACTGTCTAACTTATTTCCATTGGGGTCCTTAATCTTGTCCCCCAGGATGCGACCCACACCAGTCGACTAACACCCAGGTACCTATTTTCTGCTAGGTGAACAGGACAATAGGTGTAAGGAAACGTGTCGAAATGTTTCCACCCGCCGGGAATCGAACCCGGGCCCTCCGTGTGTGAAGCGGGAGCTTTAGCCACCAGGCCACCGGGCCTGTGGGTTCTGTCACAACTATTAAGAAAGCGTTTTAGGTCAAGGTTGATATTAGAGTTTAAGGCCCTGTAGATGTAGACTGCACAGTAGTAAGTGTGGATGTACTGAACTGGGAGTAAGTTTAGGTCTATGAAGAGTGGGGGGGTGCGTTGCCAGGGATGGGATTTAGTGATTATTCTTACTGCAGCTTTTTGTTGGGTTATTATTGGCTTTAGGTGTGTTGCTGCAGTTGATCCCCAAGCACAAATAGCATAGGTGAGGTATGGATAAATAAGTGAGTGGTATAGTGTGAGAAGGGCATTTTGCGGCACGTAGTATCGTATCTTGGAGAGGATCCCAACCGTTTTGGATACTTTTTTGGCTATATGCTGGATATGGGTGCTGAAATTCAGGTTGTTGTCAAGGTATAAGCCTAGGAATTTTCCCCCATTGTTTCTGGTACTTAGAGTGTTGTCAATCTTAATGTTAATTTGTGCATCTCCTGCTCTGCTACCAAACACACTATTTGCTGATGACACAACATACGTCTTCTCCCACCCGAGCCCAGTCACGCTAGCCAATACTGTAAATACCGAATTACAGAAAATATCTACCTGGATGAGTACTAACAAACTTACACTAAACATTTACAAAACCTACTTCATTCAGTTTGGTAACAGAGCTACAGATGTCCCTCTTAACATAATGATAAACGGATCACCTATCACAAAGCTAACAGAGGGAAAATTCTTAGGAATCCACCTTGATAATAGACTCAAATTTCATACACATATACAACAAATTTCTAAGAAAATTTCCAAGACTGTAGGCATACTATCGAAGATACGGTACTATGCTCACAGTCAGCCCTCCTGGCCCTATATCACTCTCTTATTTACCCCTATCTCACCTATGGAATTTGTGCATGGGGCTCAACAACAAGTAACCATCTCAGACCACTAATTACCCAACAAAGGCTGCAGTTAGAATGATAACAAATTCTCACTAACAGGCAGCACACTCCACCAATATTCAATACACTCAACCTACTCACCATACAAAACATCCATACTTATTACTGCACCTATTACATACATAGAACACTCAACTCTGATATTAACCCTCCCCTCAAACATCTCCTTGCCAACCTCAACAGAACACATGACCATAACACAAGGCACAGAATCACTCTTTGATATTCCTCGTGTCCATCTCACGCTATGCAAAAACTCAATGCACATAAAAGGCCCTAAAAATCTGGAATTCATTACCTGTAAATATAAAGAAACACTACCTGTTTATAAATTCAAGTCTCTTCTCAAAGATCACTTACTCACCCAAAACCAAATAAATACTGAATAACTGAACCTTATAAATTGTATATCTTAAATGTTTCTCACAATTATATCACATAAATGTTAAACCTAAAACCCAATCTAACTTTATTATTTTTTAAATACACTACCTAACAGAATACTCCATTCTACTGAATTTATAACAATGCATGCAACCATATGACCTGTCTTTGTAATACTCACTTGTGCTTTATAGTAATCAGTTTACATTAATGTTTTTCACTGATTTCATCATTGCTTAGTTAATCTTAAGTTAATTTTAAGCCAGCCCGTAATGCTATGCATAGTATAAGTGGCTTTGGCATGCTGCTCTTATCTGTATTTTTTTTTTGTACCTCTGTAAGTGTGCTCAAATTATAAATAAATAAATAAAAAATAAATAAATAGGTTTTGTCAGTGTTAAGCGTATGTTTATTGGCTGTCATCCAAGTCGATATTTTAATCAGCTCCTCATTCACAATGGTGTTGAGGGTGGCAAGATTAGGGTGAGAGATGACATAAGTCGTGTCATCAGCAAAGAGAATGGGTTTCAGGTGTTGGGATACGTTTGGAAGGTCATTGATGTATGTGAGGAAGAGCAGGGGACCAAGGACACTTCCCTGCGGAACTCCAGTATCAAGTGGCCGTGTTGCTGATGCTGTGTCTTTAATGGTGACGTACTGATACCTATTAGTAATGTAAGATTTGAAATAAGCAAGCGCATGGCCTCTTATACCGTAGTGATCAAGTTTGTGGAGTAGGATGTCGTGGTCTACTGTGTCAAAAGCTTTTCTTAGGTCAATAAAAATTCCTAGTTGCACTTGTGTCCTTTTACTTTACAGAAGACTGATGAAGCCACTGTGTGGCGAAACGTTTCTTCAATAAAGACTCCCATATGTTGCATAAGTGTCTTAAATCTTCAACTTGTCGGTTTTCAAAACCATTCATCACACATATGTATATGTATACCTGTACCTGAATAAACTCACTTACACACGAAGCAGAAGAGCTGGTAAGCCGTCAGAGGCTCTTATAACCCCCAACAAGAAGGTAACACGCGTGGATCACTCATGGAAATATTTCACAATTTTGAAAGGAAATACTTGTATCCAGAGTATGTTAATGCAAGTATTGAGGCACACACTGAAGGTATAGACATTCCTCTAGTCATTATAAATATATATATGTTTTTCTTTATAAGTTCACATACATAGTCTTGCAACCTCTGTATTTTTTTTTGTACCTCTGTATGTGTGCACAAATTGGAACCGGTGGCCTGGTGGCTAAAGCTCCCGCTTCACACACGGAGGGCCCGGGTTCGATTCCCGGCGGGTGGAAACATTTCGACACGTTTCCTTACACCTATTGTCCTGTTCACCTAGCAGCAAATATGTACCTGGGTGTTAGTCGACTGGTGTGGGTCGCATCCTGGGGGACAAGATTAAGGACCCCAATGGAAATAAGTTAGACAGTCCTCGATGACGCACTGACTTTCTTGGGTTATCCTGGGTGGCTAACCCTCCGGGGTTAAAAATCCGAATGAAATCTTATCTTATCTTATCTTGATCACTGGCAATAAGTCGCATTGTTATAATTATAAATCTTAATTTCAATTTTTATTTATAAATAATTCAATAATCTGAAGGCTCTTAGGATGTAAAGCATTTTAGGCAAAATTTACACCAGGCTGTATTTAACTGTAACTGCTTAACTATTGGATTATCCTGGGTTAAATTCTACGTTATGTTCTATGTAAGACATTGTAAAAATTTAAACTTATTACAATAAGATCACAGTAAACAGGTGATGTCACAATATGCAAAACAACCACCCTGAAAAAATAGTGAATTTCCAAGTGCTTTAGTGATTTCTCACATTATCAAGGACCTGTAAAAAAATAATAGAACAGCAGAAGACTTGAAAAGCTGAGGTATCACCTCACATTTAAACTTATGTATGAAAACTAAATACAAACTAATGGTTTGCTAAGTTACTTGCTAATTTTTTTCTGTATTTATGACCATAACATTGTATCAATCGCATCTGCTAGAAAAATGACAGGATGGATAATGAGAACCTTCAAAACTAGGGAGGCCAAGCCCATGATGACACTCTTCAGGTCACTTGTTCTATCTAGGCTGGAATATTGCTGCACTCTAACAGCACCTTTCAAGGCAGGTGAAATTGCCGACCTAGAAAATGTACAGAGAACTTTCACGGCGCGCATAACGGAGATAAAACACCTCAATTACTGGGAGCGCTTGAGGTTTCTAAACCTGTATTCCCTGGAACGCAGGAGGGAGAGATACATGATTATATACACCTGGAAAATCCTAGAGGGACTAGTACCGAACTTGCACACGAAAATTACTCACTACGAAAGCAAAAGACTTGGCAGACGATGCACCATCCCCCAATGAAAAGCAGGGGTGTCACTAGCACGTTAAGAGACCATACAATAAGTGTCAGGGGCCCGAGACTGTTCAACTGCCTCCCAGCACACATAAGGGGGATTACCAACAGACCCCTGGCAGTCTTCAAGCTGGCACTGGACAAGCACCTAAAGTCAGTTCCTGATCAGCCGGGCTGTGGCTCGTACGTTGGTTTGCGTGCAGCCAGCAGCAACAGCCTGGTTGATCAGGCGCTGATCCACCAGGAGGCCTGGTCACAGACCGGGCCGCGGGGGCATTGACCCCCGAAACTCTCTCCAGGTAAACTCCAGGTAAGCAATAAAACTAAGTTTTGCAAGCTGATTACTTAAGTTATTTGCAATATTTTTGTATTGTGTGGCTGACATAAGTTATATTTACAAGTGGTTACCATTTGTAGTTATATTTAGGACAATCAACAAATGGTAACTGTTGTAAATTGACCTAAATATAACTTATGTCAGCCACACAATACAAAAATGTTGCATTTAATTTAAGTAATTTGCTTGAAAATCATAATGCAGAACAACCACTGTGACAAAAAAAAAAAAATAGTAGAATTCCAAGCACTTTCATTATTTCTCACATGAAGAAGGAGCATGGATACGGGTCATCCCGCAGCTGCTAAAAACAACAGTAAAGCAATAGCAAAGAACTACAGACCAATAGCACTAACATCCCATATAAAAATCTTTGAAAGAGTTCTAATATGCAAGATCGCCACTCATCTAGATTACCATCAGTTACACAACCCAGAGCAACATGAGTTTAGAGCAGGTCGCTCCTGCCTGTCCTAACTACTGGACCACTGTGACAAGGTCCTGAATGCTCAAGAAGACAAACAAAATGCAGATGTATACACAGACTTTGCAGAAGCCTTTGATAAGTGAGACCAGGGTGTAATAGTGCACAAAATGCGTGACAAAGGAATAACAGGAAAAGTTGCTTGATGGATCTATAATTTCCTAACAAATAGAACATAAAGAATAGTAGTAAACAGAGTAAAATCTGAGGCGGCTACAGTGAAAAGCTCTGTTCTGGCTGTTTTCAAGCAGGCATTGGACAGGCACCTTAAGTCAGTACCTGACCAGTCGGGCTGTGGTTCGTATGTTGCATTACGTGCATCCAGCAGTAACAGCCGGGTTGATCAAGCCCTGATCCACCATGAGGCCTGGTCACAGACTGGGCCATGGGGGGCGTTGACCCCCAGAACTCTCTCCAGGTATACTCGCTACCATCCTGTTCCTCATCCTCATATCTGACATAGACAGGGATGTAAGCCACAGCACTGTGTCTTCCTTTGCAGATGACACCCGAATTTGCATGACAGTGTCCTCCATTGAAGACACTGCAAGACTCCAGGCAGACATCAACCAAATCTTTAAATGGGCTGCAGAAAACAATATGAAGTTCAATAATGAGAAATTTCAACAACTCCAGTGTGGAAAATGTGAGGAAATTAAATTCTGTATTGGAGTATAAAACAAATTCCAACCACACAATAGAGCAAAAAACTAATGTAAAAGACCTGGGAGTGATAATGTCAGATCTCACTTTCAAAGACCACAACATTGTAACAATCGCATATGCCAGAAAAATGACAGGATGGATACTGAGAACCTTCAAAATTAAGGATGCCAAGCCCATGATGCACTATTCAGTGTGTCAGTGAGGACTGTTCATCATACAGTATTTCCATTGTGGTTCTTCAATCTTGTTACCCAGGATGTGACTCACACTAGTAAACTAATACTCCGGGACCTACTTACTGCTAGTTGAACAGGTATAGCAGGTGTAAGGAAACATGTCTGATGTTTCCACCTGTAAAGTTGATTGAACCACAGACACTCATTGTGTGAGGTGAGAACATTGGCAACTAAGCCATGGGACTCCACATAAGTGGAAAATGGTAAAATGTGATAACCATTTACAAAGTAGGATATAGGCCTTTAGCTTCAAATTATAGATCAATCAGCATAACATGAATTGTGGGGAAATTAATGGAAGCTATAATTAGAAATGTAATTTAAAGGCACATTGAAAGATAAATTTAATGACTGAATTGCAGCAGTTTTACAAAGGGGCATTCTTCCCTTATGTATTTATTAATGTTTTACAAAGGTATTTGAGGAGGTTTACCTGGAGGTAGACCATGACAGAGAATGTGATATTGTGTATATAGACTTAAGTAAGGCCTTTGATATAGTTCCACACAGGAAACTGAATGGCATAGTAGTAGCATTTTTAAACTATTATAACAAATCCCAAATCTCCTGCCCATGTAAAAGATTACCTCATTGATAAATATCTTGGCTCGCTGTAACTGTCTCCAACCTAGTCAGCTGAGGTTACCTCTATAATTATGTCTGAAAAATAAGCAGGAAACAAAGCACATGTACTGACTCGAATATGCCAAAAACTTTTTGTGTTTTATCTCCATTTATAACGGCACTGTTCTATAAATGAACTGAAGACATAACATTTCCTAGCATGCTTAAACTATGTTAAGTAAAAGGACAAAAGTACAACTAATGCGACATTTTATTGTGGCAACATTTCGCTCTCCAGGAGCTTTGTCAAGCCGTAACAGCTTGTGTCTTTTCACTTAACATATTGTCGGTAATTCTTCCAACATTAATACATGCTTATACTAGCAAGAGTTACACAAGTCAATAAAAGTGGTGACCCTACAGAAGTCAATAATTACAGGCCAGTTTCAAACTTGCCTTGACTGTCTAAAATCTTTGCAAATGTAATAGTATACGTACATGTATAAACAAATACAGTATATGACTTCACAACCAAATACAATATCCTTAATCTCTGCCAATTTGACTTCAGGTCAGCTAACTCATGTAGTGCTTTCTGCATGGGTTGTTGAGACCTCTTCATTACTTCCCTTCCATTTCTATTTTACCTATTCAATTTGTCTATCAGTTCCTCCTGCCTGACCTGATTTTATTTCAGTTTTGTCATTCTGTCCATCAGTTCACTCATTTTGTTGTTATTTAGTGTAAGGGCATACTCATGTTATGACCTGGAGGATACCTGGAGGGTGTTTCAAAGGTCAATGCCCCCATGACCTGGTCTGTGACCAGGCCTCGTGGTGGATCAGGGCCTGATCAACCAGGCTGTTGCTGCTGGCTGCATGCAAACCAACCAGGTGCTCTTGGCACCTGGTCAAAACATGGTATGCTCTTACACCTTAAAATCCTTATAAAACTCCCTTAACTCAGGAATTTTTTAAACTAATGTTTATACATATGTTAGTCCTGTTGCTTGGCTCCACCTATTAAATCCCTTACACCTGCTGCCTCTGTTAATCAAACAGTAATAGGTACCTAAATATTAGTCAGCTGTTGTGGGCCACATTGTAGGGAGTGTTAGCCTGAAGCCTGGAGTGTGTTAGTATATCTTATGACTGGCATTGAAATGAACTAAGGTAGGATAATAGTTCTTAGCTTATAAATTCAACTATGCAAAAAAAAAAAAAAAATATTTTTTGCTCACAAATACCTGGAGTTTACCTGGAGAGGGTTTCAGGGGTCAATGCCCCCGGGCTCATGGTGAATCAGGGTCTGGTCAACCAGGCTGTTACTGCTGGCCGCACACATGCTGACGTACGAGCCTCAGCCCGGTTGGTCAGGTACTGACTTTAGGTGCCTGTCCAGTGCCTTCTTGAAGACAGCCAGGGGTCTATTGGTAATCCCCCTTATGTAT